GTGATCCTGCCATCTTTACCTGAAGTGTTGAGTATGTGATCCTGCCATCTTTACCTGAAGTGTTAAATCTGACTTTTTTTTTAATGTGTATCTATGGACTTTGTGATTTAATGCATGTTTTGTTAAGAGTAGAAGAGTAGTAAAAGTAAAAGAGTAAAAAGTTGTTGTTGTTCTGTTCATTGTGAAAGTGTTCTGGTTGGTTTTTTAACTTAGTTTTAACTTACTGCTTACTTAGTTTTTACATAACAAACTAAAACTAAACTTAAAAAAAACTTAAAACTTAAACTAAAAAAAAAAAAAAAACTTGCTTTCTATACCTATACCATACCCTTGACTTTGTCAAAGTCAATGTACGCCCTATATGGCAATGAGAAATCCCATTCATATTTCCTGCTTTTTGCTCAATTTCTGGAAATAAATGCAGCACCAACACAATATTCCAACTTTTTTTTTATTATTCTGGAAGATTTACAACAATCAAATACAGACAATGAAAGTACAATGGAAAAAAAAAATACTAAGTGTTAAAAACAATAAGGAAAAAAAAAACCCAAAATACTAAGTGTAAAATAAACAAAATACTAAGAGAAAACAATTGAAGTATCTAACAATGAAAGTACAATAGCAAAATATTACTAAGTGTAAAAAAAAATTCTCTAAAAGTGACTGAGCATTTAGTATCTAACTAACTGAAAGTACAAAAGTAGTGTTGCAAAAAAAGTGAGTGTTAAGGATCTACCATTGAAAGTGCAAGGGCCAAAAAGTGACCCTGTTGCCAAAAGGTTTCAGTAAAATACTCACAAGTCCAGCAAACAAGTGATCTGCTTCAAATAAAGTGGCTCCTTCACAAGTTGTCTCCATACAATTAATGCATACAATTAATGACAACAATAAGCTGGAATAACAATCAAAATCATTTAATCCAAATATAGTTACATCAAGGGCAACTGGACAAAGTAGGTGTTTTTTTTTTGAAGACGAAACACCTCTCATCCAAGAGACTTCATCAGTTCTGCTGAACTGAAGAAGCCTTGGATGAGAGGTCTTCAAAAAACACCTAAAACAAATATATATTAGTATATATATGTCCATATGTAGACATATATATTCTAATTA